TCCTCTTTGCTGAATAAATCGATATACATATTATACACTTCGCCAATCACATAGTGGCGCCTTTCGTTAAGTGAAATTATAAAGTTTATATACACCGGAGTTACTATCTAAAATTACAGCAAGTACTTCATTAACCCACTCATTCTCTAAACTAAGTTCTAACGAATTAATCCAACTCGCCAAATCTAACACGCCGCTTTCGACCCCCTTTGTTAACCACCCGACCTGGTTACACGAGCCCGGACAAATTGAAGCGACCGACTCGCCGATTTTTCGTTGACACCGCTTACAAGGCTTTATCGTTATGCATAACTTATAGGGCACAAGCTCAAAGCGTCATTTTTCGTTTTTCTGGAATTAGCGTTAGTACGTACTTTAACCACAGAACCAGCGTGTATCTATATACCCCAAACCGGTTTGAAAATTAATTACAGCAGTCAGATATTACACGAACGATCAGTTAAAAACAATCGTTGTTCACAAAAATCGTCTTTAACTTAAAATTTTGTCTATGAAACCGTCTTTTGCGTTAAAACAAAAAAAATTCATTGCAAAATTTTGGTATATGTTACTTTAAAATTCTACCTTTACTCTAACACTAACCTTGACTCTTACCCTAATCCCAATATACAAAAAATAACTGACCAATTGTAACGATTTTTTAGTTACCCAGGCAATTGATTTACATCAGCCAATCAGACGAATGTCTTGGGGTAAAATCAATAAGAACGCGACGCGTTTTTCTTTATAAAAGAGAATAACCCCTGAGATGGGATTTACCTTCCTTTTCATAATTAATTCCCTTACAATGACCTGGCATACGTATTTTGATGAAAATAATGTCCAAGATTGGAGCATTTATAGATTCCACAAAAATTGGATACATATATATAAACAAGACTACGAGGACCTTATCTACGGTAAAGCTGTAGATGCACTTGCAAAAAGCCTTCGTGAACTTATAAATAAAAGTTCGGATCCCACAAAAGTACAGAAAGCTAGTAACCTTTTAAAGGCGAGTATTTTCCCTACATAGAAATTGTCCTCTGCAATATTCTTTTAGACAATTGCAGTTGTCCACAACATAGGAGGTTCAACTTTTAGTCGTTTTTCTGAGATCTTTTAGATCGTATTGTGGTTGTGACATTCCATAACTAGGAGGTGTGACGCTTTTAGCTGGTCCTCTGACAGATCTTTTAGATTGTTATGGTTCTCAACACTGATTACAATATCACGCAGAAAATATTTTGTTTACTAGTTCAAACTTATAATATTTTTTTCCTTTTTCATCGTCAGAACTATAACCAACGCAAAGAAGGGAACGCTATCGACAAACTATGGCTTACTGTCGAAAACAAGAAACCAATTCTTAAAGAAAGAAACGTGAATGAAGGAACAAATTGTATACAGTTAGTTTCTTGTAAAGATATCCATATTAACAATATTGGGAATAAAAGGAATTACGAGAATGAAAATCCAGAGACACCAGAGGTCCCAACGAAAAAAGTCAGTTTATTTGAAATTCGAAAAAATTAGTACTAAATTGATTAGATAAGCCAACTGAGGTTGATAATGGTCATATAAATTGTATTAGATATCGGTTGGCAACGACGGTTCCTTTTCGGAAAATAATAAACATGAAAAGCATCATGAGGAAGATGAGGAAATAATTTTATTAGAGGTCTAGATATCTTCCTTATTTTGTGCATATCTCCTTAATTAATAAGATTCATCACTGAACTAATTCAATTCTTTTCTTATAGAGTCCGATCGTTAAAAAACTTATAAGTATTGGCGGAATTGCACGATATAGAATTGTCTTCTTGGCTGAAGAAAACAATAGTAGCCCGATTAAATCAGCTTTTAAAGAGGAGGAATGGTTAAAACTTGAAATAGAATGGCGAAAAGTTCGTGGTCTTCTGTATATTTATTAAAATGATTTCGATAACAAACTTACACTAATTTTTTCTAGATCGAGGAGATGGTTGCACCTGTAAGTGATGGAATGGATACAGATCAGGAGAATTTATTAAAAAAATATGATGATGCGATCAAAAAGGCAACAATTGGATATAGCGTCAACTTGAGCGAAATCGTCGGCGTTTTTAACGAGTGTACCCTTATAAATCGGAATTGCTATGTGTTTTATAAGGAGTGGCCGTTACAATGGATACAATCCATTTATAATGCATTGTAGGTAATGCTTTCTGTTCTAATACTTGAAAATGATGATATTGACTTTTGTTTTATTCCGTAGTTCACTATGCTTCAGTCTCGCAATTAATCCACTCCATGACAGCGATTTATCAGAATATGCATATAGAGATAAAATCGTAAATCCTCTAATAGAAAATGTTTTTCTGGAAATAAACGAAGTGATTCGTATGAAAACGTGAGTCCTAGAAAATTATATCAAATCGTGACTGATTATACAACTTAAATGCGATCCACTTATCGCTGACAGAGGCGAAGTCGAAAATTTAGACCGCAAGGTTCAGAAAGATTCAAATAGATTACCAGGGATACGTCGTGCCACTGGTTGGGAGCACGATGCTTTATTAGTAATGAAGGTGAAGAGCATCGAATATCAAATAGGATTTGGTGAGATTGTAGGGAACGCTTGCGAACATGATGATGCAAAAATGGAGCGGGATAGAGAAAAAATTCTTAAGTGCAAGTAGAAGCTTTCCTTTATTTTATTTTTTTCTGGCTAAGTATGGTAACTCTAGTGCATCTTAATTTCAACAGCAATGCAACTTGGGCTCTTTCGATTGCGACAGGCGTTGCGAGAACATGGAGCTGATGAAAATGATTTTAACAACGCCGAAACGTTAGGGATTCTTGTGTATAGTAAGTAACAATCAATTGTATATTCTATTTTTTATTAAATCACCAAAAACCTAATGTTTCTTCACTTTCATAGAAAACAATTTTTATTTTTACTCGATGCACTATTCTGAGGGTTTATATCTGACAGACAAATTTGATGAATTTGCGATACCCACTAGCGCCAGTCAATTGCGCGAATTGTCAGAAATTATAAGATCAATGTTTTATTTTAAAGTAATAACTAGAATCGTAATATTCTTTTGTTGTGAATATTAAATAATATCTTTTTCTGACCTTTTTTTCATCGCCAGCATCGTGTTGTAAATCTTCACCGCAACATGCAAAATTTGCTCAAAGGGAAACGGGAATTCAGACAGAAATCTCGCCATTGTAGTAAAATTGCAACCAACGAATCCCCTTAAAGTAAAAATGAAGAACAAATATTTGTATTTTAATATTTGTTGTATTTTTATTATTGAGTGCATTGCACTGTACAGCGAAGTTAGGTAGCAAGATATAATAAAGTTTTTGTTCACACTGGTTTTGTGATTTTTAACGTGTGTGCTGTATAAATAAATATATATGATCACTTTGTAAGTGAGGGATATTGCATAAAAATTCGAATCGAAAAAAAGTAATAAATATATATATTAAATAGCTAAGTCGCGAAATAATCAATGAAAAACAATGAGTAAATTTATCGATAATCCAATTCAAAGCTTACGATTAACTAAAGATAATATCGTGTGCATATTTGATTTTAATGAGTTGCGAGAATATTTGAACGTAAAACACATCTTGCTATAATGGGTCTCGAGAGAGCAATATTATATGAATTAAATCCGCAAATAAGAGATCAGTATAATACGCAATTGTATAATAAAGATTACCATAGCATATTTTTTAGGTCAAAGAAATTGCACTAAAATAAAAAATGGCGAACCACCGGACCCACTTCTTTATTTCATAAAAAAATATTAACTTTGATCTACAATGTTTTGTGTATCTCTCTTACTTAAACGACTAAAATCATCATTATCTAAACAATATTGTGCATACTCTCTAGAAACATAATAAAGAGGATCATTTTCAAGAAAATTATCATCTTCAGGATCATAGTATGGATCATCTAAATTAATAAATTGTGATTCTTTAGCTTATTGTCTTAGCTTCTTAGCTTTAGCAGAATTTTATTGCAAAAGCAATAAGGCTATGCCTCTACT